GTAGTGGAGGACGTTACGGACAACTATACATGTAGTGGATGATGTTAAGGACACTATACATGTAGTGGAGGACGTTACGGACAACTATACATGTAGTGGATGATGTTAAGGACACTATACATGTAGTGGAGGACGTTACGGACAACTATACATGTAGTGAAGGATGTTACGGACACTATACATGTAGTGGAGGACGTTACGGACAACTATACATGTAGTGGAGGATGTTAAGGACACTATACATGTAGTGGAGGACGTTACGGACACTAAACATGTAGTGGAGGACGTTATGAACACTAAACATGTAGTGGAGGACGTTACGGACACTAAACATGTAGTGGAGGACGTTACGAACAACTATACATGTAGTGGAGGATGTTAAGGACACTATACATGTAGTGGAGGACGTTACGGACAATTATACATGTAGTGGAGGACGTTACGGACAACTATACATGTAGTGGAAGATGTTAAGGACACGTTATACATGTAGTGGAGGATGTTACGGACACGTTATACATGTAGTGGAGAACGTAACGGATAACTATACATGTAGTGGAGGATGTTAAGGACACTATACATGTAGTGAAGGACGTCACGGACAACTATACATGTAGTGGAGGATGTTAAGGACACTATACATGTAGTGGAGGACGTTACGGACACTAAACATGTAGTGGAGGACGTTACGGACAACTATACATGTAGTGGAGAACGTTACGGACAACTATACATGTAGTGGAGGATGTTAAGGACACTATACATGTAGTGGAGGACGTTACGGACAACTATACATGTAGTGGATGATGTTAAGGACACGTTATACATGTAGTGGAGAACGTTACGGACAACTATACATGTAGTGGACGATGTTAAGGACACGTTATACATGTAGTGGAGAACGTTACGGACAACTATACATGTAGTGGAGGATGTTACGGACACGTTATACATGTAGTGGAGAACGTTACGGACAACTATACATGTAGTGGAGGACGTTACGGACAACTATACATGTAGTGGAGGATGTTACGGACACGTTATACATGTAGTGGAGAACGTTACGGACAACTATACATGTAGTGGAAGATGTTAAGGACACTATACATGTAGTGGAGGATGTTACGGACACTCTTCTGTATCGAGATACTTCGCATGAGGTTAATATCGCAGATTGAAAAACAAAGGTTGGAGCAGTCTATTATACTTTATGCTTCAAATTAAAACTTTATATCTTTAGTTGTGTTTTTTATGTTTTAAAAAATCCACAAAAAAGTCAGTGAAAATGCAAAGCAGATTGATATTCATATTATTAATGCGCGGTACAATTATCAGTCTTTGATATTTTACGTTAACGTTGTTGTGTGTATTTTTAGACGTACGAAGCTCATTCTGAGTTAATGATATTTAACATACAACCCCATTACGAAGGTAAGAAACATGTGATGACTTTAATGTTTTCTTTTTCTTTTATCATCGGAATGTGAGTTTTTGTGTCAATATTCAATATCATTGTAAATAGGACCAGTAAAACCCATAAATTCATTCTTACCTTCAACATACAACTTAATATCAGATGTACTCCATAGATCATGTTACAGTATGTTTTAGTGAGAGATCAGTTAGCACAGTCCAATTCGTTTAAGAGTAGAGTGTTTATTGCATAACTTTTATAATCACCTATGAAGTATAATTGAATTTAATCAAAGCGGGTATTCTGATAACGACGAAAAGTTTTCGACCAACCAATCTTTCAACATAACCCAGATATATTTTCCGATTAAACACTCGTGCGAAACATTAGTGAATGAAAATCTCATTTGATTACAGAATCTCGTGGAAAAACCCGTGAAAAACATTTTCTGAGAAAACCATATTTCATCCGAAGCCTTTAATGATCAAATCTAATTCCTGAAATAGCATTATCAGGATTTTTATAAAAGACGTATTCATTTTTTGTCACTTCTTAATTTTGTATTAATTTATATTGTTCATATTCAAAGGTTGGTTATTCTATACAGGTATAGTCCAAAAATCGGATTATAAGCATTGGACTTTCACGTTACATTTCAATACTATTATGTGTGTTAAGTATTTTATCTGCTAAACTTTTAAATATAGTTTGTTTGTTTTTTG